TGGAAGTAAATAAATAAAAATGTACTATTTTGCATCAGGCATGTTAACATCAATACCACATTTTTGTCCAGGTTACACTGACAAGTTGAGTTAAAAAGGAAAAGGACATAAACAGACTGAAGACATTATCCAAATGTCCCACCTGAATTCACCCTGTTTCGAAGTAGTTAGTGACAGAAAAACATAAAGAAGGTGGCTGTTTCCCACTAATCCTCTGTTTAAATCACTTCATATATACAGCTTTCTCCATGACACCTCTGCTCTATAAGCTGCCACAGACACCTACGAACGAGCCACATGGTTGTGAGTCAGAAATTAGAAACTTTAAAATGTCCCAGTGTAGATCTCTTCACTGCAGCCTGGCATTTCCTATACAGAACAGTCCCACACTGAAGTCAGACACAAAGGACGCATCCATTACACTCTGTCAGTGATGAATTTGAATCGTCTGTTATTTACAATATTATGGCTCTATGCTCTGCCACGCCATGTGAGCAGAAGCTGAATCGCAATTAAGTTTAAATAACTTATTTCACTGCTGACAGTACAGAGATGTGTGTTAATGACTGAGTGTGAAATCTGACCTTGGCTTTTCTGATGGAGTTGACCCACAGCAACTGTGTCTTCAAGGTCACAACACAGAAACTGGATGTAGGGAGACTCTTCCTGGAAGCAAGGATGCTGGGAAAACGGTACATGTAGGTGTCACGGTTATGCTACAGGGACATTGTAGTGATTAAGTCAATGCACTTGCATAAATGCCATACACTGATGAGATTTCTAAAAGGATTAATCCAATCCACTGCAACAGATGTATTCTGCTATAGTCAACCCTTTCTGACCTTGTATGAAGCTCAAGAAACACTGCATCATACATTTCCCATAATGCAACTTTTTTTTGTAGTCCCAGCCTTGAAACTCCATAATAATTTTCAACGGGCTTCTTATAGAGCTCAACAGCTTGGTTCAAAAAATATAAATCACATTCATTTTCTGAATAGAGATCTTGATTATCAGCCATAATATTTTAACCATCCAAGGTAGACTTACCAACAATGTTATGATGTAACTATGACATCATTATATTCACAGATTGACAGAGCTCATTCAGAGCTACTGAGTTCATCAGACAAATGTGTCCTCTCCCCATCACAGCTAAACCAAACGTGATTGTGTAAAACTGATGGACTTTAAACACAGATGCTGCATCTCTGCCTTGGGTTTATATGAATACAGGAGCCAGCAGAGGGCACACTGTACCAAACTGTTGCAGCACCATACAGGGAGGCATGGATGACACTGGTTTTACTGTAAAAACACTCACTGCAAATGTGGCAGTCTCTTGATTCTTTCACGTTATTTGACAAACAAATCTTTGATGTAGTTCTGTGAGAAAAGACAACGTAGGAGTATTCATTTTTACAAAGGTTTTATAACCTGCATTTACATCTCAAAACATAGATACTACAGATTAAAAGCACTACATATCCCAATGATCCCAACATGCAACCCTGCACGTCCTTCAAATGATAGGATTCCACACACACAGGTTTGCACAGCTATCCATATAAGGACTTCCATAGGAAAACCTAACCAAAACCTTTTCCTCAACTATAATACATTTGAGCAATTCTAACCTTAAATTCACATCTAACCAATAACCTTAACCACAATCTCAGAAATGACGTTTAGCGTCATTCAGACTGAGCTTTGGACCACTAGTCCTGACATGGTTTATAATTATACTGGAAAAGGTCCTGAGGGGGCAACAAAATCATGTACACACACTCACCTAACCCTAACCTGAACCTAGAGCTAAAATTAGTTGTCTTGTTAATGATATATGTTATAAGAATTTGATTTTGTCCTCAAAGGGAAGAAAGTCCCCTAAACAGATGTAGGTCCCCACAACACTTTGTAACAACTGGAACCACACACACACTTCGCTTCGACTTCCATTAATTGTGGACAGCCTTACCAAAACCTTATGCCTAACCGTAACCATGACTAATTCTTACTCAACCTAACCCTACCCACAATCCACATCTTACCACTAACCTTAACCAAGACCTCAGAAATGATCAGGATCATTAGGACCAGGCATTGGTCCCCATGAAGTCTACTGGTCCTGACAATGTTGGTATTTATACCAGAAAAGGTCCAAAGTTCACACACACACACTCACACAATCACACACAAACACACACAAATATGTCTCTCTATAGTTGTGAGGACACTCATTGACATAATTTATTCCCTACCCTCACAACTGAATGTCTAACTATTACCCTAAACCCTAATTCTAACCCTAACCCTAACCCTATTGTTAAAACCAAGTCTTAACCTTCAAAAAGCCAATTTAATTTGTGAGGACGAGCCAGAATGTCTTTACAATGATGGTATAGAACCAAAATTGGCCCGACTATAGACATGCCCACACACACAGACACACTTTGTCCCAGTCTCCGTTCGGTCCTACCTCTAATTTAACTAATGTGTTAAATGACAAACTGCAGATACAAGACTGCAGCCACTGTTCTGACCCTCATATGGTCAACACCATCATCACTGTTTGAATTCACCACACTGCAGGAGTCTGTTCCAAAAAGCTTCATTTCAATGTACACGTGAAAAACAGAGGATATATCTTTCCATGTTGTGGAGAAACTTTGATACCATCTGTTGAGATCACCTGTAGCTTGAAGCAGACGTTGGTGGGAGCTCTGCATTTCTGTCTGTAGTTGGTGGCGTAGATGTTGTCGTGACCTTTTCAGAACACAGGCGAGATGACTTGAAGGCTGGAACAGAGCAGAACACCATCGCCTGATGTTATCGCACTGTGACAGAATCAAATGTGGAACAAATATGTCGATGAGAACTTGTTTGGAATAACTATAATTGCTGTCATGTGCTAATACAGTAATAAGTGTCAGGTTATGCTGCACGTGTTGTGCACAGCAGAGCTCTTTTTGGAAGCTTGACAGGAACAGTGAAAAAAAAAATGTATATGGGCTGCAGCCCTAAAATGATAAACATATAGTTTCGATAATGGGACAAATTTATGCACAAAAACATGCCTTTCAATTTTCAAGCCATTTTTTTAAGAGCAGGGCAGCATGAATGAGAGCAGTTAAAATACTGCTCGTCTATTATTTTGTCCTGAGGCTTTATATTTAGCATGTGTGTAGTGAAGGTCATTTCTCTTGGCCTCATTGTTTGGAAGGTTTTAAACATGAAGATACTTAAAAGAAATCAAGTCAACGAAAGACCATTTGTCTTGATTTAATTTTCAAAGAAAGTCCAATGATCAAGCTCCTTAGCAGGGAGTGGAGTTTGTTTTTCTCTCTAAAGCATTTTGACATTCCTTCCATTTTTGATTTTAAGCAGAGGCACATTGTGTTCACACATTCAACAGCACTGACAACAATGTTGGTGTTGACTGGAGACTACAAAGTGAACATTCCAGGAAACACAAACGACTGAAGGAGGATGATTGTGGTTCTCTCTTTGTTTGATTTCCTGGTTGATGACCGCAGCTCCGTTATTCTGATTTCTTCATGTATGGCACTAAGTTACATGTGGGTGGATGTCAGGATGCTGAAACACAATCTCAGCCAAGATGTTTGTCCTGTCTGATTTTAAGCATTTCTCTTTTCTCTTCCTAATGAACTATCCTTTCCAGATCCCCTGCTGCTTCATGTCCTTGGCCTCAGATGATTCCCGCAGCTCTCTCATGTTTGCGATTTGCACATCTGCCTTGCACTATTTCCCCCCCCCAATCCATTTCTCCCTCTCCCTCTTTTTTGAGTTTTTCCTGCTCTGTCGCAGCGACAGAGCGACATGTTTCTCTTTAACAGAGGGAAGGCCTCAATTCACGCCGTCCATCTTCATTTCTGCAGCTCTCCCTCTTGCATTAACATCTTCAAACATCACACTAACCAGGTTTTCCACTAGATGTCGATATAATCTGTGTGAACACTTTTGAGAAATATGCTCATTTTGATTTTGGAGGTGGTATGTGCTGTAGTTCCATTATAGTAACAGCATGCTTTGCCACTTCCTTTCCATCCAGCTTTTGGAAAAAGGAGGATGATTCTCGATTTGTAGAGGTTAGCGTGACCGTCTGGCACAAGAAAAAACGATCCCCAACTTCAAATGGAAATCTTATCTTTAAAAAGAAAGCCCATCGTCCCCTGCATGCTTCCTACATCACTCATTGTCAGAGCAGTGTGACTCTTTGTTGATTTGCTCTTCTTGTGAACGAGAACTCACCACTCAGGCCTGTGAGGCCGATGGAGATGGTGCTCACTCTCTCTGAGTGAATCAGGAGCCACGGAGTTTACTGCAGGAAATTATCTCTGCTGGCAAATGATGTGACAGCACATTAATAATAACAGGGCCTCACATATTATGAAACAAATCCAATGTCACGACATATATTGTTCTGAAATACACAACAGACAGACATAATGCAGTTGTATATCACATATGCTGCAACTTTAAAAAGTGATTAGCTGGTAATTCCTCAGATTCCTGCTGACAGTCACCATGAGATCATGGAAAGAATTAAGTCTCTACTTAAAATATCATAGGAATAATGCAAAACACCCACTGCAGTTGGCTCACACAACATGACCTTGACCAGTTTCAATAGAAGCAATAGACCACTTGACAGAGTAGTTTAAAAGCTTAGTTTATTATTTCATATACAACTTTACAAAAAAACAAAGTCCAGCATTGCTAATAGTAGTGGTGATCTAATACTAAAAAGGGACCAGTCAATATTGTCTTCGCTGACGAACGGAGAGGAAAAACAGTCTGAGGACGAAGGTCGGCTCCACTGAAGTTGGTTGCTTTTTCTTCACTGAGTCTTTGAAATGATTCCATCATGTTTGATGGTGATCACACAGCCATCAACACCAAATAGTCCAGTAACACACTTCAGTCATCAAAGTCCAACTCTGTCTTCAACCAGGGACTTCTGGAGTGACCTCGTTCGACACAGAGAGAAACACAAACACACAGGAGAATGAGAGCAGTGTTTCCTGCATGAGGCTCAAGTGGACCAGAGGAGACACACTCAAGACACACCTGCAATCACTCAACACCTAAAGCACCGCCATTGGCTCACAGCAAATATGAAATCCTTGCACGCACACGTGCACGCACACGTGCACAAATCAATCCAACTCCCAACTCCCAATCACTGAGCCCAGTGTGAAGGTGCCAATACCGGTCCTGTTGCAGTGATCATTAAAATGTGCTTGCGAAAAATGTTATTGTGTGTAGGTATACACCACTGAATGCTATTTAATGTAACACAAATACATTTCTTACTGAAATAGTACTTTGGAGAGAGTCAACACTTTGTAGACTTATGTAATAATCAATCGAAACATTAAAGCAGGTCACGTGATGTCCCGAGCCTTATATTTATCAATGATTGGTCACAGTGATCACAACATATAAAGAAAGAGATTTGTTAAGTGTTAACGTTTAATTGCGTTAGTTATAGCTCTAAACCTCCATCCAAGGAGGCTGCTGTTCGTCTTTTAGCAGGATTACACAAATAGTAATAAATAGAAAAAAAGAAGCTTGGGCCATGGGCAGAGGAAGAACCCACTAATGTTTAATACAGATTTTCCCTCCATTAAAATCACATTTTTTGACATCACCACCAATAACCTGAGGATAGAATTAATGGAGCTTGATTAAAAAATAACAATACATTAGGGGACTGAGCGTGTTGAATTTTGTGCAGCTTGACAACATTTAAGCAGACTGTTGGATTTTGGTAGAGGTATCATTTCAGTCGTAATTTATNTTTGTCCAGTCTGGACTAATTTAAAAAACATGGCGGCCTCCGTAGAGTGGACCCCCTAAGTATTTGAATATAAAGGGCCTTTTCTAGTGTAAAGAAAACTACAATTCATACAATTTAGATGAAATGAACTAGTGAAAACATCATGAGAATTATTCTACATTAAATTTCTGCCAATAGTTCCCTTTCACCTAAATCTCACACACTGGACCTTTAAAGAAAGTTAAAAGAGTTTTAAATGTAGAAAGCAAATTACAACCAAAACCAAATGCCGTGGAGCTCATGGAGGAGAGAGGGAGACTGACTGAATGCCACCAGCTTCTAAACTGCAGCCAGACCAGGTGAGGAGTTTCCCTGACGGCCAAACTCCTCCCACCAGCCTCTGGCAGGGAGAGATCTGCTCTGAGAGGGTCGTCACGCCCCTCCTCATAAAAGAGTCCTTCCACCACAAACCCCAGAAATGAAACCATGTTAGCTTACATTTAAAACAGGCATTCCACAGTGAACTGTTCCTTTTGTCTCCGTCTTTTCGGAGCCAAAAAGATTCAAATGTTCACAATCTGCCTGAAACAAATCAAACAAAGCACAGATTGCTCCAGCTTGTCCACCATTATGTCGACTGCTCCGGTACCAAAGGAAGCATATTTAAGACTGAAGGGGGACAATCCAGATAGTGTCTGTAAGCAGAGGTAAAAGCGATGAGAGACAATGCATGATGTACACCTTACTCTAAACATATCTGGTAAACCTCTAATTTAGGTGAAACTTAACCTATTGCCAGAAATTGATTAGACTGAAATTATAAAATAATCCTGGTGATGTTTTCACTAGTGTGTTTCATCTAAATTGTTGTGTTCTTAACCCTTTATATTTAGATATTTTATATTTAAATCGGGAACAGGTCCTGTCTACAGAGGCAGCCATGTTTTCACATCAGTCACTGGACAAACTAAACACCTTTTGAGTTTTTATGACAACTGAAGACTACCACAGTTTCTCCCTCATGTTTGGAACAGAAGGGTGAGGTGAGGGGTTTTCAGCTGCTACATGCAACTTCACCACTAGATGTCACTAAATTCTACACACTTAACCTTTAAACAATTTCAATGCCTTGATAGAATAGAATGAATGACTTATATCTAAACTCTTGATATCTTAATCATTAACACAAGACTCCACAGGCTCAGTCAATGTCTATAAACAAGCTGGGCACACAGCCATCCTGTACATAAAATGATGCCTGCCAGCCATGTACTACAACCCTGATGAAAGCCACTGAAAACACGTCGTCACGCTGGAGCTGCTGCTCAAATGACACCTCCAAGCTCCTGAGGTCATCAACAAAAAACACTCATCTGTGTGTTCTGGTTCCAAGACAGTGAAGCAGAGAGAACAGACCCGGTCGAGACAATAAGAAGAATTACGTTAAATCCTTTTGTTTCTTAGAATCTCAGAGGATCAGTGCTTTAATCAAATGCTTTTCTCTCCAGCTTTGGTAACAGTCTGTGGCGTGGTGTTCGTCACTGCGATGGCTTTCCAAGAGGACGCGTGCCAAAGTGACATATAGACTCTTTTTTTCTGGTACGTCTGATGTAATTGATCCCGTTCTTAGGGCTGCACTCGTTCACCTTACATGGAGAGATTTGAAATGGACGATGTTGATCTGTGCCTCAGGCTGAGTTTGCATCAGTTTGAAATGTGTAATGTTTTTCTTTCTGAGCTGCAGTTATATGATGAGCAGCTTATGTGTGCTTTCAGTATAGCTCGCAGTCTGATCCAGATGTGGTGACTTCACATTTAAGTGTCGCCTCACTTTTTTTTTCTCTGACGCTCGGTTTCAAAACAAAGACTGCCATCTGTAACCAGATAATGTCCAGATTAGCGAGGTAAACATCAAGTGATGGGTCTGATTCATATCTTGTAAAGGCTCCCAACTTCAAAAGCATTGGTGGGAACTTTGAGATTCCCACCGGGCCACGTTTTTAAGAAAGAATGCGCCCGAAGATGTTTGATATCACCCTGGTGTTGTGTTTTTCACATTTACATATTGGGCTATAAAAATACAATTTGATTGATTGATTAAAATCCAACTCACCTGAATGAGATGATCTATTTCTCAGCAATTGACTTAACGTATACTTCCTCCATCTGAGAATAGGAAAACAACAGATTTAGATTTCTGCAGCGATACAAGAAATTAAGAAAATGGAAAGAGAGAAACACAGCAGGGGTGTCAGGAAATAAAACCATTGGAGAATCTTAGTTCAGTTTCAATTTTGTTTCAGTTTAGTTTCTACCAGATTAAGTCATTTCCTGGACAGCTCATCATGCAGCAAGTGGAAGTAAACTGCACTGACGGTTTGACACAACAATCAGCATTCTTGTGGTACGGAGACACAAGCACTCTTGGACACATGCGTGCACAGACTCAACGGTGTGGATGTGTCTGTCATAGTTATAAATAAAACACCATATTCAAAGCCTCATTCAAAGAACCAAAAATGTGTTCTGCGTTTTTAAAAACTTTCAAAATCACAAACACTGGAAAACAATGTCATTTCCGCGATTGCACAAGTGAAGAGGCCGATTGTGTGACATGTTAAAATGGCTTCCACGTGGCTCGGGCTGTCAAGTCACACAAGTTGTTTTTATCGCTCTCCAGAAAACCTCATCTTCCATCGACTGATTCAAGTGGTCGTCTATCTATCTGTTCTGGATTTCCGTGTCCACTCTACCACACAGACACAGTAAAAAGTGATTTACTATTAAATCCTTGTACTTTGCTGACAGTCACCACTCAAGATGATAGAGAGCAGAGTGAAGTCCCCTTAAAATGTAATAAAACTCCTCAGTATTAATGTGTTTGTAAAAAATTTGAATTCTGTAGGTTTATCACCGCATAGGAGCACGAAAAAGTATCCGGCTAACAGTCTTTGAATCAGTAATTTATAAATGATTTCAAAATAGACTAAAGCCCAAAGATTTTCATCGAACACAATTTTGCATCTGGGTTTCTCCCTATGGAGGCGGCATCTCGCCAGCTTTAGGGTCAAAAATACATGATGCATGTGGAGCAGCTTAAAACAGCAAAGTGAAGAATGAGCTCTCAGTTTCTTGCCAACTCTTTGAGTCTGCTGCTTTGTGCGGTTATCAATTACAACTCCTCACATCTATATTCAGTGTGCATGGAAACTGGGAACAATATCTCCAAACAGGACACAGCAAGAGCAGAGGTGTTATTTGAAGTTTTTTCAGTGACTTGCTACTTGTTTGACTACATGTTTATTTATCTCTTCTAATTTATGGTGTTTAATATATGAGAAGCAGTGTAGTGTTTATAAAACCACAGACATACTGGAAAAGTCCTGGAACATGTAGAATACCTGCTGACACTGTAACTAGTACACAACACACTATAAACCCAAAGTGACACGCTCAATCACTGACATTTAAACCAACCAATGTGTTTATTTGCAGTTTTCTGATCTCTACAAATAAACACACAGAAATTGCCATGTACAATATGTTTTGTGTTTGCACTGTACAACCACCCATAACTTAACTGTTGATATGTCTGTCACGCATGCTGTGCAATGACAACTTCTCATCTCTGCTGTTGATTATTTTATTATGAAATCACATTTTGTATTGTGCCTTCTTTAATTCCTCTCTGTTGGCAATTTAGTGGTGCTATTGTTATGTTGAGAAGTTTAATGCTGTAAATAATTAACCATGTCTTTTTGCCGTCTGTTCAGTGGATAACGGGAGAAACCCTGTGACCTTAAATACAAATTCAAACTAAATGGATTTGTTTTTCTACTTTGAGGCATCAAAATCATGCTGTAAACACAACAGTGATGTTTTATCTGGTTTTGAAGTTCCACTCCAGCAGCTTATTACACCCACAGACCTTTGTTGGTCAAAATTAAATATTCAAAAAGTTTATCATGAAAAAATTCCCCTCATGGCCTCAAAATGTAACTCTCCACCATCTGTGCACTGAATATGCTAATATGGCCCCACCAACAAGACATGATTGGTTTATTTAATTTGTGACATCACAAATGCTGGCTGTTTGACGGCACAGTCACACAAATACTCAGTTATAATGTTAACTGCTTATTCAATCAAAATATAAAAAAGGTACAAGCGAGACATGTTAACTTGTTAAAAAACCTTAATGTCAATGTGACAAACTTATAATTTACATTTGTTTATTAAAACATCCAACAAACATGAGCAACATTATTATAATTGACGCTTTGCATAGAGGAACCTGGCAGATGTAAAACCAATATACATGTTATTTTACTTCTTTACTTCAACTCCCTATAGGAAAATATTTGACTCCTTTGCTGCTAAATGCTCTAACACATTGTTCATGTCAAAAATATATTAATTATATTCTCTATCATCAATATTATTAGTTGTATTTTTTTGATAAGATGTTTTATTTATAGTGAGGAACTTTGTTAGTTTTGACGCAGCTAAAAAACCTTCCATGTCAAATTTTAATTAAAGTAAACCTCCAAACATTTGTCAGCTGTCGAGAGAGGGACAGAGTGTACGGTTGATTTTGTTTGTTTCGTTTTTTCTATAGAAACATCACTGATCCAAAAGTTCATATCCTGCTTATTTATGAATAAGCAACAAAGGCTGCTGCTCCTCTCGTAACCAGAGCAGGATCACATTAGGATATGACTCGACCTATTATCTGAGATGGACTGGATATTATCTCAGAGACGAAACGCAGAGTGAGTGTAAACGTCTAAAGAGTACAGCAAACAACTATTTGAATAGGTTTGTGTATAAACTGATATATATGTAGATAGTCAAGCTGCAGCTGGAGGCAGAGTCACTCATACATGGTATGAAACCTTGACAAATGTATGGTGTCTCTCCTGCTCTTTATTGCTCTGTACCACTTCTTCACACACACTCAGCCTAATTTGAATACACACAAATGGTAAGACGTAATTTGCACATGCCTGCCTCTGCTGTGCTGTCCGGCCTCATTCTGTGTTTATGCTGAACAGTAAACAGAGCATCCATTAAACTGTAATGAGCCACAAAGGGAGCAGTAGAGAAGATGGTAGAGGTCGAGCTATTGTTTCCATATGAAAGTGAAATCTGTGGATCCAGAACGTGAACGTTACCTTTGCGGCCTCTCAGACCTTCTGCAGCCCACATGTGAAAGTCAATCCTGACTTCTGTTTCTCACATTTAAAGACAGTCGGACACATCTACTCTCAAGAGTAGATCCATTCTCAATAGTAATTACTGGAACTTGTCAGTGATACTATATTTGTCTCGAGCATGTGCTCATCAAGACACGCATTACAAAACCACACTTGTTTATGAATTCCATGCTCTCATCAGGCATGGCAGATTGTTGCTGCCGTCTCCCACGGTGGTCTCACACAAACAACAGGACAAAGGACAGTGAGGAGGGGGACGCACAGGCAGGCGGACGAGCCAGAGCCAGAGCTCATATAAAGCAATTTATTGAGACTTAAATGCATGAAAGGCACCAGTGAGCGTTGCCTGCAGACAGTAAACCAACATGTTTTCTCTTTTCTTGTGGTTCAGAGCTTCTTACTGTTTTGTAATTAGTTGCACAACCGTCCACTGGCTGCTGCGAGAGGACATGTGTTTGTCCTAAACAAAGCTGATGTGACGGCTCAAGTATTTAACTCTTTAACGGGCCAACTGAACGGAGAAATGCATTTTTTTTGTAGACATTGCTCTTAAATCACCATTATTGAAACGTTCAGTCTTACCTTCTCCGTGTCCTCCACGCATGGCAGCACCATGAGGTGTGTTCTGCAACACTCAGGGGTCAGCCTGTAACTACTGGGCCTGAACTGCCTCTGTAGATATTAGCTTCCTGCTGTACTTCTCGTGAACCAGAGGGAGGTTTTTATTTTCTAGTTATGCTACATTCATGTGGTTCTCTGCTGCTGCAGCCACCGACCACAATGCACTTCACACAGCCCTGCTCCTCATTGTGCCGTCACACAGGTGTCTTCACTTATCTACAGCACTGGTGTGCACGAACGCAACATAACTGATTTACATTAGGTTCTTACTCTTCTACTTAGTTTAGTTGCACGTAGGCTGAAATCTATTCATTCTTTCTGTGAGATTTTTGCACTCAACTTCAATCCTTAACTTTGACAAAATGAGTAAAAAGTCAATCAGACAGTAACACTCATTGGGAGTCCTCACTGAGAACAAGAAAGTGATTCACGACTTAATAAACATCTTTATTGTTGTTTACCAAGCACTATAGGGCCAGATACATCTCTGATCCGCTGCTACATTATGAACAGTCCTGAAATCATTTGGGACAAGCCTCTTCACTGATCCCAGAGTCAAAACAAAATATAGGGAAGAGGCAATTATCTTTCACGCACAACCTGGGCCTGGAAAAAAAAAGTCCCAGAAAACTTTTGAAAATTTAATTTGGAGCAACGTGTTCAGATGTTGCACTCCAATAGAACCCCCCCCCCCCGTACAATCCTGTGTCACTCAATTCTAAATGATTTTTTTCTCCCATTTTACATTGGCAGAGGCTTATTTCCCAAGTGTACAAACAATTCAAGAAACAATGAATCACTGAGGAAAAAGTGGCTCAGAACACACTCACCACTCCTGACAAGTGAGCCACAAGCTTCACAAGTGAATGAAATAAAATATAGGGTTAGACAGGGGGATATATATTTAATATCTCCGAATGTCTTTCTGTCTGTCAGTCTGTCCGGATAATTCTGAAGTAGCTCCGGAGCTTCACACAGCCCATTCCAGACAGACAGGTGAAGAACAGTTGGCAGAGAAGAAAAGTCTCAACATAAGACAGGTGAAGTTCAAAAGAATTCAGTTAGAGTTGAAATGAATATACACACCGTATAGCAAAAAAAAGCTAATGTTTGATATGAAAGTTGATAACATTTCACTTTGCTTTTATTTGTGCTCACTGCTTGTGCTGCTGTGACTATTAAAAATGTCTACAAGGAAAAGAGTTTTATACTGTATATAAAAATGAACAAATAATAATGTTTATGATGTTGCCCTAAATAGCCTTTCTTTAACTTTCAGTGCTGTATGTTATTTTTTAGAGATGAACCTACAGCACGTAAATCAAAACTGTTTGTGCGTGGCTGTGGTGAGGTCAACACGCTCATACACATGTTGTAGCTTTGCACTGATGTCAGAGGGTTCTAGATGGATGTGACTGATTACCTGTCACGACTCCAGCCACATGAGTTTACCTCACGTACAAGAGCATGTGAAGCAAAAACAAACACAGACTAATCTAGGACGCAGACAAAGGACTGTTGTACTGCAAACATGTATGTTCACATATCACGCTCACACACTCTTACTCATGGAAAGAGAGAGAGAGAAATTAAATAAACCTAAGATAAACCTAACTTTGACCTTAACATGACCCTTTCACTAAAGTAAACCTAACATAAACCTAACCTTAAAACAATCGTAGGATGTACTGTTAGCATTTACATTATGGGAACTTGATTTTTGTCCCCATAACAAAGTCAAGTTCCCATAATGTGACTGTGTAAACAGATTTTGGTCCCCACAACATAAGTAATTGCTGGACCACACACACACACACACACACACACACATATGAACTTATACGGACAAAATCTACAGCCAAGTGTAGAAAATGCATCAGAAAAACAGCAATAAGAATTAATTGGGGACAGAGATTTCTTCTGTAACAACATATTAAGTTGTAAATAATTAGAATATATAAATAATGAAATCAGTGTGGTCGCAGGAACTGATGATATACTTTGAAAGTTGAGATTGTTAGACATTGATGGCTCCATGAAATCCTGACTTTAGTAGACTATCGTGAAGACCGTCTTATTGTGACTCTGGCCTGTTTGTCACTTTGTCCACTTTCTTCCTAAGCACACAGTTAATCTCAGTATCACTCTATGGTATCACTGTGTGTGTGCATGTATGTGCACGTTGCTGTTTCATCCTTTCAACTGTTTTTTGAGAAAAGTCCAAATTTGCAAATCAATATATTCACCACGTTGACTGTTTGTAAGTGTTTCTGAGTGATTTATAACAAATTACTGCCAGAGGGGGGAGGATTTATGCAGCTTCTTGCATATATTTAGTGTGTGTGAGGTAAAGTTTGCCATGAGAAGAGGGGGGCAAACATTATAAATGCTTCTAATGTGGGGTGCAGCTTTAACTGGAGCCATGTGGGATCAGAGAGGGGAAATGAGAGTGGTAATAAACTGTTCAAAAGTTTACGTTTTTACAGGGGAGGCAGTTTTGGCTCCAATTTTCCCAATATTACAGAGTTTGTGTTTTACCACTGCAATTCAGAAGCAGTGAAGAGGCTAAAGCTTTGATGCCATTTAAAGCAAAGAGTTTGATTCAGCAGGGCTTGATAAAAAAGCCTCAGGGCTTATCCTGTCACCAAAATGGATGGCAAAAGAAAAGAAAGTTGGAAATAAAGCACAACTTATCCCTTTAAACTAAATCTCTAAAATTCAACTTTGCCTTGTGAAGCATGTCATGAATTTGTGTGTGACCTGTTGGAGTGTGAGAATGAAAATATCAGTAATGGTCCAAATATCCATCATGAGCGCAGCTTCAGTAGGAATGGAGTGACTCCACAGAGTGGTATGTCCGGCCGGGAAAGCTACGGGTTAATTTAAGACTAGGAGGAAAACCTGTTGCCAATTAGGAACAGTGAGCGCCATATGTGGGCTATAGACGGAGCTATCTCCAGAAGGGGCAAAGGGGGCAGAAACCGTGGAGCGCGCAATGGAGACAAGCTGAACGTCTGTGCATCCACTTCTACAGGTTCAGCACAGATTTACGCATATGGACAATTAATTTGAGGATATTTTTTTTCTTGAAGAGATGATCAAACAAAGTCTGCAGGGCTGATGCGCAACAGTGCCATCATCTACTCTGTTTCTACTTTTACCTTTCAGCATCGCATCATGGCACGTATCTATACCATATTTGTATTCTTTGTCACAGCCATAATGGGCACAGGGAGTGTTGCTGAGATCTGCAGAGGGACGCACTGTTTCTCGGGGCAGGACTGGAGCAGATCGTGCGTCGGAGCGCACTGCCAGGGGCGCACGGAGGCTTCTGCGCCCCGACGGCAGTTTCATCACTCTGCACAATCCACACAAGGACAAGCCTACCCGAGTTACCAGCGGGACGCTCATTTCAGCCACCACCAGGCTCAGAGCGCACCCTTAGCGCCGTACATCATTCACCCGCAGCAGGGAGGCTTTGCGCATCAGACGAGCACGGATGGCAACAGGAGGACGAATCCGAGGACCCTCACAGCCGAGGTGTTTCACCCCGGCTGCGTCGGCGGGTCCTGTCCCACCACTGTCGCTCATCGTCAAACCAACGATGAGAGCGCAACGCGGGAGTGCAAAGGGATTGGATGTAAGCTGCCGCTCCGGATGCGCCAGAAACCCAAGGCTTGCGCTGGAGACGGCTGCAGTTCCCTCGGAGGAGACGAAGGGAGAGGGGGCTCCTCTCCGGTTCATGTGACGGACAGAGCTGCACAGTTTCTGGATGAGCTTCCAGACTTTGGGTCGGAGCGTGGAGCGTGGATACAGCTGTCATGCGACATGAAACCAGGTCAGTCTCAGTCATTCCCCACAAAATACAAAGAGAGAAACTCATCCAACCGCAGCCACTGCAGTGGGGACATTGTAACCAATAACAGTTTTCTTTGTTTGCTTAAGGAACGAACGAGGTTCCCTCAGAGGACGCTCTTGTGCTGCAGCTGCAGTTGTCGAAGAGCCAGGAGAAGCTGGTTGAGGCTCTCAGGGACCAGCAGGACGAGGTCAGGGAGCTGCAGAGGCTCCTGAGTGAGCAACAGGGGGCGCTGGTCAACCAGCAGAGAGAGATACTGGATCAACAAAGGAGGATGTACGAACAGATGGAACAAGTAAGGCTGCTGTGACTGATGACCAGAGAGATGTTCATTTTTATGTTTGTGGTTTCCTTGTTGGACGGTGCTGAGATGAACAAGTTTAATTGAGACGAATGCAAAACACTTGACTTAAATATATTTTGTCAGATGAAACACATGGTCTGCACCATGATGAAGTGCAGAAAAATCACTCATCCCCTAGTTTAGTTTATATAGTTGTGGGTAAGGGTTTGTAATATTCCATTTTTAATTCTCTACATCTAGGTGAAAGCCCAGTACAACATATTGATGGACGGCATCAAACAAACGTCTTTCCAGAACCTGCAGGGGGACGTGGGCAATCCCACGGAAACGTTGAATGGGCAGGTTAGAGCCCACCGAGCCCAGCAGGCTCTCTCTTTACCCAAGGTGGACATGGAGGCCAGCGTAATGGAGGTGAGCTGCAGGTCGAATCAGAGGAAAATAACAACGTATAATGCAAAATATGATACTAGACTTAAAAACACAGTATATACATTCAATCTATACAAATGCAAATGCATGTGCTGCTCCAAAGCAGAATCTCAAGGAAATATTTTCCAAAGTTCTTACATTTATATCTACACAATCTTCACATAACCTGACCTGATGTTACTAGTTTAATCAGTTTAACAAAATCGTATCTAATTTAATGAAAACATGCCATCAGGTTGGTCGTTCTATGTTGAGCTGTGGCAGATGCGGCCCTGAGGAGTACTGTGGGTTCAGTAGCGGTCATCCTCGCTGTGAGAAGTGCACCATCTGTCCTGCCGGCTTCTTCCTGGTCGCCCAGTGTTCAGTCCATGCAGACAGAATCTGTCAGGTTAGCTCTATACTGTCTTTTTAGAGGGCCAGAAAAACAAAACAAAGAGCTGAAAGACGCTATAGTAAGAGCTGATGAAAAATCAGATTTTTGAGTGACCCCATTCATTCTCAATTGCAGAGGTATCAAGTATTAAACAGAATAAACAATTCATTATTCATTACAGGATAGAGACGAATGCCTTGAAATATCCAATCTGTGTGGAGATCAACAGAAGTG